ACATTATGGCATCCTGTAAGTCTTGTGTTTATTTTTCTATGTCCTGTATAATTCTTAAGCTCCCTGTGTCCTCTAGTGTCTATCTATCAGCATTGCACAAATTAGCAAACAAATACTTGTTTCTATTTTCTTATCTCAAAACATTAAAAAAATATTTAACTTCCCATCCTATAAATTTTCTCATCTATTCTTTCTTATTCTTTTTTTACTAACTACTATATTACTAATGATGCTTTTATAATTATTCTTCTCAAGCATCAGCAGCATGTGTGGCAGTATTGTGGATTTTATATATAATCTTCTTGTACATGCATATATGTCTATTATTTAATTATCTGTGTGCTTGCTGGAGATTTTAGCAGCCAGTATGTACATTTTATTGTGAATGTTGATGACAGGTTTCGGTAGGTATTGTGCAGTATTTTCTTATACACTGAAGCACAGTCTCTTCTCACTTGGGTATGCAAAACTGTCACTAAGGATGATAGGAGCTACTTCTATTCATCCTAAAATAATATTTGGGTACAGATCATAGTACATTTTTACTGAATTTGGATTTTAGCCTACTGTGGAAAGCCAGTATGTGAGCACATAATTGTCAACTGTTTTATAATGCAGAGACATTAGGAACAAATTCAGATTCCACATGTGACTTTATCTGGGGCCTTCTGAATTTTTTACTATATATTATATTATAGTGGGATCCAATTAATTTAGTGTTAACCATTACAAGTTGAAGAAGCTATAAGCTAGGGTAACTAGGCTTCCTCTCAAACCAGAAATATAGAAGTACTTCTAGAGGATATAATTCTATAATACCTACCTAGGAAAAGTAGGATGAATTACTCTACTGGAGTACCTTACTCTCCACATGTGCTAGAATACTTGTCCAGCTTTTACACAGTTGCATTTACCCAGATAATCCCATCCTTCATATCCTTTTAAGACAGAGGGAGTGCATAAGTAATTATTTTAAGTGCAACAAACCAGTGAAACATGAATAGGTGTTTATTAGATTTGGACGCAACTTACTGCACTAGAGTAGTGAAGAACCATCCTATGTGAACTGAATAGAAGTATTTGTGTATCTGCAAAAGCTACTTCATATTGACTGAAGTATTCTGTATTTCTGAAAATGTAGCTTTTGGAGGGAAGGAGGCACTCCCCTGCCATCTTGACTTGATATCTCAGGAAGAATGCACAGAGCTTTGCCTTTGAAGTGCTGATGAGCCAGGTGAGAGTTTATGGGCAAGGATCAGCGGACAAACCAATGCAGGTGATGTCATAGTAGGTATCTACCAGAGACTGCTTGATCAAGAAGGTGAAGTCCACAAAGTCTTCTTTAGGCAACTGGAGAAGGAAGCCTCATGATTGCTGGACCCAGCACTCAGAGGGACCATCTGACATCTGCTAGAAGGGCTATATGGCTTGGTGCAAGCAACCCAGGAGATTTCGTGTGTGTTTTGACGATACTGGGTTGATGCAGCCCATCAACAATCCAGACAGAGAAGATGATCTGATGGTTCTATTACTCACAGACAAGGAGGAACTGGTTGGAAATGCAAAGATCAAAGGTCTTATACACGTATATAGTATTTCAAACACCAAAAGAAAAAACAAACTAAACAAACCAACCAAACAAAAAAGCCAACAAAAAAACCCTAAACACATCAAGTGGTTGCTCAGGTATCGACTTGGCAGGATCATATGTGAGACCATCATGAAAAGCAAAGGGGCCCCAGAGAGCTGGCTGATTTGCTAGGACAACATCCTCAGAGTGCATGATGATGTGCAGGAAGTTGAGCAAGCATAGCAGAAAGCTAGTATGGATAATGGTCAACTGGTCTCAAACACAAAACTGGGATCACTGGCTACTGGTCTCAAACACAAAAAGGAAGTATGCCTTCCTAGGCTACACAAGAGGAAAAGATAGACACTGCCAAAACACACAGGGATGGATGCAGGAAATTCACTGCCCAGCTGGAGTTGAAACTATTGAGGGATGTGAATGGCGACAAGAAAAGCTTCTGTAACTAGACAGGCAGCAAAAGTTTAAGAAAAATGAGGACCCATTGCTCTGTGGGGTAGGGGATCTAGTGAAGGGGATCTACACGGAAAGGCTGAGCTACTCTTTATTTACAGGCAATGTTTGTCCTCAGGAATCACAGGTCCTTGATCCTAGTAGGAGAGTCTTGAGGGAGGGAAGAATAACCCATGCTACAAGAAGCTAGAATGCTTCAACAAGTTGGACATTCACAAGTCCGTGGATCCATATGGACCTGGTTGAAATCACTGAGCAGCCACCTTCCATCATTCTCAAAATGTTATGGTGTTTCGGGGAGATTCCTGATAACTGCAGAAAAACAAACGCCACACCCATCTTCAAAAAGGACAAGAAGGATGGTATGGGGAACTACAGGGTGGTCAGCCTCACCTTACACATTTGGAATATTATGGGACAAATCCTCCTGGAAACCCTTTACAAGGACATGAAGAACTCCAGTCACTGGGAACAGCCAGTTTGGCTTTGCCAAGGGCAAATCATGTCTGACCATGCTTGATTACCTTCTATGATGAGATGATTGGCTTAGGATTTGAAAAAGTAATGACCACTAGGTACCTTAACGAGGCTTTTGGCATGGTATCCCATAATATCTTTATATCTAAAGTGGTGATACATGGACAGGATAAGAGGACTATTGGGAGGAATACTGGCTCAAATGAATGTGATCAGCAGTAGAAAGCTGAGATTGTGGCTGGTTAATTATGTCACCCTGAAAGGATCAAGACTGGGGGCAATTCTTTTAATGACCTGAATGATGGGATAAACTGCACCTTGAGCAGCTCTGCAAATGACAGCAACTTGCAGGAAGAACAATCAATAATCTGGAGGGCAGAGCTGCTCTTCAGAGGAACCTTGACAAGCTGGAGAAATGGGCTGACAGGGAACTCATGACATTCAGTAAAGACATCCGGGATGAAATAACCCCACACAGCAGTGCGGGTTGCATGGGGGTTGAGTGGGGAGAAAGCACATTTGCAGAAAGTACCCGGGGCTCCTGCTGGAAAATAAATTGAGCATGAGTCAGCAGTGTGCCCTCACAGCAGAGAAGGCCAGCTGCATCCTGGGCTGTATTAGCAGATGTGCAGTCAGCAGACTGAGGGAAATGATTGTTCTTCTCTTGTAAGACCGTATCTCAAGCACTGCATCCAGTCCTGTGCTCCCGAGTACTAGAAAGACATTGGCTTACTGCAGCAGGTCCAGCAGAGGAACCCCGAAACAGTTTGCAGTCCAGAGCACATGACATAGGAGGGGAAGCTGAGAGAACTGGGTTTGCTCTGCTTGGAAGAGAGAAGTTTAAGGGGAGATCTTAATGCTGGTTTCAACTATATATTGAGAAGGAGTGGAAAAGATGGAGCCAACTCTTCTCAGAGGTGCACAGTGGTAGTTCAAGAGACAAAGGGCACAAGCTGTGACATGGGAAGTTCCAGTCAGATGTAAGTAAAAAGATTCTCACTGTGAGGGTGGTCAAACACTGGAACAGGTTGCCCAGAGAGACTGTGGAATCTCCATCTCTGGAGATACTCAACACTCACCTGGACATGGCTTTGAACAACTGGATCTAAGTGGACCTGCTTTGAGCAGGGGATTGGACGATATAGTCCCCAGATGACCATTTGAACAACCTATATTACTGTATGGTTCTATGATTCTGTATTTAGTTTCCACATTGAATATTAGATGTATGGAAAAAAGTAAGTGAAAAATATTTGTTATATCCTGCTCTGTGTCACAGACCTATTCAATGAAATGGATCTACTTTCTAATGAAAAAGTAGCTTCTGTTATTTTACCAGATTGTTGAGTTTTTTTAAACATAATGTTTGTTACAGTTAAGTTAGGTTATCGTTGTATTTTAGAATGATATTTATGAACTAAAATTCAGATTCTTGATCTTAATTTTCTGAAGTACTCTGTAAATTGCATAATAAAGATTACTGAAAAAAAATATTGTTTATTTATTATTATTTAATATCCCCCTTAGATTGTATCCTCAGATTGAATTACATCAATAGCAAGATTAAAGCCTCTTAAAACATCACAGACATCATGGTAACAGGTATCTGCCATTCTTAATGCAGATAAACTTTTGAGTAGCACTTTGTTCCTTAGATTTTCACTGGTAGCAGAACAAAAAATACAAGTTTGGAATTCAGATTCTGTTCCAAGCATTCCTGAATTGATGCATTTCTTTTATTTGACGTTCTCTAAATAAGAAATTCAGCCTGTGTCAGGCACTTGAAATGGAAATTTTTTAGACTAAATAAGAAGTAGTTACCAAATTTATAGGCATCAGAAAATGGATTACTGAAATGGGAAGTTTTAGACAAAAAATAATTAACAATGCTTCCACCTACATTTGTAATACCACACCTTCCTCTGTTTTCCTCAAGATATTCCAGTGATTTCCTTACTGCTCAGAGAATAAAGAATGTTTTAGGGTTTCAAGCTTACTCTACCTAAACCACAGAATCCATTTGATTAAATGGATGGTAGAGCCAGTCAGCAAGAATTAAAGATGTCTTACTACAACACTTCTTGGAAAAAAGCTGTTACAAGTCCAATATTTATAAGACTCAGTGAAATTTTTGGAGATTAAATTGTGCAACAGACAAGAACAAAACACAGAAGAACTGGAAGTAAAGGTGAAGGTCTAAAGAAATATCAGCAAGGTTTAGTAAATGCGTTTCTTGACTGAGTCTGATGAAGGGTTGGTTCTGTTTCAAAGTGCAGTATACTATACAGTACTATTTACAACACTCTGAACAAGTTGTTCTAGAGACTCAGGAAACTAATATTCAGCTTAACAGGAAGTTTTATTAGCCAGCTAGTAAATGGCATAGTACTTCAGACTTGTAACACACGTGATTTTGTAGCATACTGCCATATGCATAGCCATGAACAATAAACAAACATATTAAAGCCCACACATTAATATCCTAGTGACTACAATACGTACAGCCCAAGCAAATTTTAGTGGAAGTAGTTTCATTGACTGTCACAGGCACGGATCAGATAATTCTTGCACTTCAGCAACTTTCAGAAGAGTTCACGATTCATTTGGCCAAATATTATTCTTTCTGATGTTTCTAAATAGCTGACCAGTCAGTGTGATCAAATATATCTGAGAAAGGAAAAAAGTGAGTGAGTTAAAAACAACAAAGTGTTGATACTCACTCATGACGGAGTCAATCTGTCTGTTAACCTGTTCCTAAGAACGACAACACAGAAGGATATACAGGAGAATGATCATGACAAGTGTATGAAGACACAAGCTGAATTCTCTGCTTTGCCACAGGATTGCTGTGTGACATCCAGCAAGTCACCTGGGCCCACATCCGCAGAAGTATCTTGAAATCGATTTCAAGTGGCACGCAATTCAGTTAAGTGTTTCAGTGCCCCATGAATCTTGGTCTTAACCTCTTGAATGGGGATAACAGCTCTTTGCCACCTGGCAAGAAGGTGTCAATGATATACATTGAAGATCACGAGATACGCATGTACTGTGCTAGTGAGGATTCAGTGAGTATGAGTAAGAAATGTTTTCATTACTCAGCTGGCCCACTCCATAGCTGGAATGTTTTTACTACATACCTGTGTGGGAAGGTACTACATACGGAAGCGGTAAATTAGGTCATACTTTTAGTTCTCTGAGTAAAAATGAACTAATTTCATTTTCAACCTCATGATTTTAGATAACAAAGAACTTTCTGCGTGCTTGAAGGTACTCAAACTTCAGGGTATCTGTGAAGTGAACAATCAACTCTTGTTGCCATTATTCATATGATTTGGTTTTGATATTGAAAGCTTTATTCCTTTTTACCCAATAAAATTTTCTCATAGATATGTGGGCGGAGCAGTTTCATGGTTTTGTATTGTTTGATTTAGCATATTCATGGCCTAGGTTCTGTACAAATAGAGGACAAAAGAGGTCTTTTGCTCCACAGATTCTACATTCTCTTTAGCTGCTTCCTGTCCTTGCAATGCTGTTTGCTTTCACAAGTCAGGTCAAACATTTCATTCAACAAACTTTGGACACCAACACCTGTGATGGTGCTTGAATATATGGGAGTTTGTTGGTAAACAATGCTTGATCTTACTTCTAGTTAAAATTGATGGAAAGCTTTATAAAATTTTGGAGAGCATGCCAAAGCCAAATGGCACTGAATTGATTTTTACCTCCTGCAGAATATCAGTATTTTGTGACTTCTTGCTTAAAAGTACTCTTACCTGTGTAATTAGCAGGCTGATAGCAATTGCAGTTAAGATCAACACATTGTTTTCAAACCATGTATTTAAATATTCTTCACATCCCTAAGGAAGTACAGATGAACAGATTTCAAGAAAAATAATTTCAACTTTTGAATTCATACTGCATCTTTATAAAAACATACTTTTAAAATATATACAATAGAACTTTCTGCATGTTATGATGGGTTCTGATATTTACTTGCCAGAAACAAAATACATCAGTAATGTGTACTCCAGAGAGTTAGCTATAAGATTTTAAAAACTATCTGAACTAAACAGATTGTTCTTAAGTAAATCTGATGTTTTTGTATGGAAATGTTCCAGAGCTTGTGACGTAATCAAAAGGGAATTTGCTTTTATGTGAGTGTAACTGAGCGACTACCTTACAAATAAATGCTTGAAAGATTACTTTCAAGTTTTCACTGATTCTCATACATTATGCATCCTGAAAGGGATGTGTATATTTTCCAGATTACAGTCTATTGTTATTACATTGATTTTTTAAAGATAATATAAATTATTAAATAACTTAAAATAGCTAGAAGTATAATAAAACATATAAATACTTGATTTCTGTATTTTGAAGTGATCTTTTAATAATGACAAGGGTTTGTAGAAACAGGGAACAATCCCAAACTGATGAGTGAAGGAAGACAATAACAGATGCTATTTGACAACATCCTTCCTATTATTTACTGTCCTGCACTGTCAAGAAACAACCTTTACCCACTGAAATTTTTTTCTCATTGGATAGTCCTATTAACACTGGAGTGTTTATAGAAGACCCTAATATGTATCGCTTTGCTCCAGTTTTCTCTTATTAGGTGATGATATCTGATGGTCCTATGCAAACTGGTCCTTTGGTATTAAGACACATAAATGCAAACAAGAACTGGTCTGGGGAAACACATCTCACATACCAATGCCTTGCTCATTCCTCTTATCCTGCAAAGTATTGAAGATGCTATGGAAACAGATAATATGAACAGGTGGAGATGTTGCTGACATTCTGTAAGTAATGAATAGTAATTACCAGTGGGAAATGTAGTGTATGCTTTTTATATACTGTCACTTTCCATTGTCATAACTGATTTGCACAGCATGGATTTCTGAATGCCAAGATGCTTACTACTTAAACCACTACTAAATGTCCCTGTGGTACTGATCTGTGATATTCACAACTCCTGTTTTCTTGAAATATCCTTAATTTAGAACTGCCTATATGACTGACACCTAATGAGTAAAAGGTCACTTCAGAGTGACCAAAACCAAAATAATGAATATTATTAATACTTTGGCATTTGTACGACAAGTCTTGGTGGAAAACACATTTTCTATATTTTTTCCAAAGACCATTTAGTAGCAAAAGTTACATTCTGCAAAACATGTTTTTTATTTCTTACCATACTGTATGTTGAATTCTTTGGGACATCACAAAACCACTTCTTCAGACTAGATTTTATGCATGAACATGGGATTTGAGTACTATTTTCCTTGTTTTTATTCCTTTCCCACTGTGTGACGTTGTATCTTCCACAGCATTCCATCTAGAATAGAAATCCTGTAACCTGTAACTCCAACACCTACAAAGGCTGTTACACAGAGGAATTTCCACCCCAACCAGTGGGGTTTGCTATTTGATAGATATTTGATTTAGTTGATTAAATTAGCTAGATAGTTTCCCTCCGTATTCAGTAGAAAGAGGTTTCTGCAGCAGATATTTCACCCTTGTGTATCTATAATTTCCCATGACATGCACTGGATAGTACAGGTTTAAGAAGAATATGATATTAAAATATACTTTTGAAAGGAACTTTCTTTTAGACTCTAAATTATTCTAAAACACATGTAAATAGAAAAAAAAAAATACAAACCCAAATTAAAGCAAAACATTTTTACTATCCCCCTTAACCTTCCAAAGTAAATTCAGTGTAAGCAGTAAGCTATATTAAGGACGTGCTCACTGCAAAGCACAAGAAAAAGAAAGAAAACAACACATTATTGGAAGCAACATAATGAATGTTGTTTCAGAATGAATACATTAAATGGGGACAGATTTTATAAAGCATATTTTAATAAATAAAATTAAAAACACAGACACTGTCTTACTCTGATCTAGGAACTTAAATAAGGACCAGATTTTGAAGACTTTTTTGGTTATTCCTTTGTCACTTCTAATGTTGTATTTGCAAAAATTCTCCACTCTTATCAAGAGAAGCTCTTTAGAAAGTCTCCCTATTCCAACTTATGTTTTAGCAGCAATTGATCTCTTGTGAACACATAGCTCAGACTCAAAGCGCAAAGCAAATACTGTGCTCTCTTCAAATGGACTGTCAGCTGGCTCTTACCAATAATCTATTTCAATACCAGTAACACAAAACCAAACCAAGCCATCAAACAGCTTGGAGAACAGAATTCTTGTCATGTAGGAAATTCAAGCAGTTTTTCATTCTGAATCAGGATGAAACTTCACAAATTATTGGTTTTGTTGTGGGTTTTTGGTGGTGGGTTTTTTTGGGGGGGGTGGTGGACACAAAGTCTGACATATTTTGGCTTAAGAGATGCTAAACTAAAGTATCTCATTTTGACGTTTTGAAGAGTCAATCAAAAATATACTGCTTCTGAATTTTGAAAAACTAGATAATTGAGCCAGAACTGTCCTTTCTCTGTAAAAACATTCAACATCCCTATAAGTTCAGTTAAAAAAATCACTAGCTTTAAGCAGTACATTAAATTGTACCATAAATACATAAAAATCTAGTTCTCTAATATTATTCATGACCTTAGGCTTTTTATTTTTCTCATGGCAGATGCCGATGGTATTGTAAAGAGCTGGAAGCATGTAACACAAGACTTGGGGATGGCACTTTTCATTCAAAAGTGTGATTACAGTTCACCTTGGCATATTTAATATAATTTTATCTGGCTTAGGTACCAACAGCAAAATACCTACTTTGAGATACACCACAATTTATACACGCCCACCAGAGTAGTTTGTGGGTAGGTAGCTTTGCTGAAATCTGTGCTCCCACACCAGTTCAATGAAACTGAGCTCAAGTATGCCAGCACATAGTCTAGCCGAACCATTGACATAATGAGGTCACCATTAATCACTAGAGAAATCATGAATGCAATGAGGGAAGACTGGATTTTCAAAGAAGGGATTTTAAATATGCATTACAAATGCATTTGTAATTTTGAGTCTAGACATACGTGCTTTATGAGCTATCTGGAATCATAAATTATCTTCAGCATTTGTCAAGAACTATAGAACTTAGAACTCACTTCTGCAAGAAGTCATACTAAGGGGCTCACAGCTGGTCTATAGAAGCATATCAAACCATATTAAACTCTTAAGCTTTAGTATTTGTAATTAAAAGCTCATGATGCAGAATTAATTTGAAGGGCCACTGCTCAAAACCATTTGTCCTGGTTTCATCTGGGATAGAGTTAATTTTCTTCATAGTAGCTAGCATAGTGCTGCGTTTTGGATTTAGTACCAGAAGAATGTTGATAACACACTGATGTTTTTAGTTGTTGCCAAGTAGTGCTCAGACTACTCAAGGACTTTTTGAGCTTCTCCTGCTCAGCCAGGTGCATAACAAGCTGGGAGGGAGTACAGCACAGCTAGCGCAGGTAACCCAAACTGACCAAAGAGCTATTCCATACCATATAACGTCATGCTCGCGGCG